CGTGAAGCCTCGCTTCCAATTGACATGCGGTAATTACACAAAATAATCAAGACAATTCATATCACATATTCTTGCATAATGCATCCACACGCATTCCGATTATTACGACCGCCCACGGCCACGACCGACATTCGCGTCTGTGGTCTTTTGGCATAATCGGGCATTGTCCCGCCCCAAAAATAGCATTCACTTAAGAGCATCGTTCCGAAATCTATCCGCGAACGGCAACCGAAATCCATCGAGTATCCGAAATCCATCGGGCATCGTCCTCCGCAATCATACGGATACGGAACCATTTATGTGATCACGCAAGCATATCAAGCACTCAAGCCAATTACTGTCTTTCACTTAGGCCAATGCAAGAGTGTTTAATGCTCACATAGTTAGAACATCTAAAACCCCGCACACATAAAAATGCACGAAATAATTACATAAGCACATACACTTTACCTTGATCCCCATAACATATACGTGCATCAAGGAAACATATAAGTTCACACCGCAATCAAGAACGAGAATAAAACTAGCAGAAACATGTCATGAGCAAACCATACAAAATTTCTACACGGGCTTCGTCCTCCTAGAACAAGCAACAATCAACCTTAACAATCACGGAACATAAACTTGAAACTTAATCCTTCTATAAAGATCCAAGTCCGATTCAAGGTATAGATGATCTACCTACGACACAAGCAATGTCATGGTAGAACGAGCTCAAACAATACTCAACCTAGGTCCGAAACGCGTAGAATAACACCCTATCCACGGATTAGAAGAATTACTTACGAAAGCGGTTGGACTACGGATGAAGACGGACGAACAGCGATGGCGAACAAACGGCAATGGTGTCACGGTGGCACGACGGCGGTGAGCGGCTTGATGGCAAGGACGGCGTGGCAACGGTGAGGATGGCTCGGCGTGGCAGCACGGCTACGGTGGCGACGGGCGGACGGTGCGGCGGTACAGTACGGCGCGGCGCGGACAGTTGTGAACGGCACGGCACAGCACGACGGTGGCAAACCGTGGCGGCACGGTGGCAAGGACGGCACGGCGCGGTGGTGGACGGCGGTGAGAAGGGAGGGCATGAGAAATAGTGTATGAGAGAGAGAAAGAGAGAACTAATAGGGATTGAGAGAGTGAAAATGAGAGTGAATGAGAGAGGTTCCTTCCTAAGGGTTCTTGCAAGAAGCCAATAATGCAAGTGCATTAATGACTCAACCACCAAACCTAGCCTAACTTCTTAATTTGCTCACAACCAAGCAACTTCTTAGACAAGAAGCCATCTCGTAAGCTTCCCCAACAAGTCTCACCCTTAGGTAATCATGACTAACAAAGTAGGCTCAAGTATCTAGTTAGGGACTAACCAAAGGAACCAAACTAGAAACCAACCAAGTTGATCTCTTCCCCCCTCTCCCCCAAAGTGGCGCCCAAACCCTATCAAACAAAACCAAATTTTGGTCTTTCCCCAAACAAAGCTTTTAGAAGTTGCATTATAAGCCAAACTATAGGTCAATAAACATCGAACACCAACCATGCACAAGGCACCCTAATGTGCAATCTTCCAAAAATCAATCAAGGTCAAATGTGGGCAAGGAGGATTTTGCCCTCTTGATTAGCGCCTAACAAAGCCGAACAAGTCCATTGGGCTCGACTTGGGCGCTGGCCTTCGTTGGGCTTCCAATGCTTGGCTCGTGTCCACTTCATCGAAGATTAACGTCCAAAGATGCGTAATTAAGCGACGTCAAATTTAGGATGTCACAATCGCCATATCCTTGAAATGTTGTTCCTACCGGATGAGGAGAAGAGTTCGATGGGCTACCTCCTGAAGATACTGGTTCATTCACGCCCACTCACCAACAGACGCTAAAGGTACCTTACGATTCGCGCATAGGGCCAATGGATCGAAGCTGGAGAAGTACAAAGACCAGGGAACAACATGTCTAGGACTCGGAAAGAAGAATGCAAAAAAAAAAAAAGATGTGCAAACTACAGGAACAAGTCAATCGAGTCAATATTAGGCAAGTAAGCCCAACCCTTATGGCAACTTAATATACCAAAGAAATTTCGATCCAGGAATTGGGTTTGGAAAAGAAACCTAAAGAACCAAATCAAACTAGCAAAGAGGCAAAAAATCGGATTCTTCAAATATATAAAAATCTGACCCGAGGCTTGCAGTCCTTTCAAGATCAGTATCGCCAGCAAGTTCATGTATGGTCCAAGCTAAGCTCCCTTTGGAATTTAAAATAAAGTCAGTGAGAACGGCAGAAGATGAGGATGTGCTCATAAATGAGGAGGAACGGGCTGAGTTCCAGTTCACTGATGAGGAAGTGATGGAATTTGAAAAGCTGTCAGCTTATAACTCCAGACACCTCAAAGCTCTAAATGTACTGGTCAAAATTAATGGCAGATCTGTGTTTAAAGTTTTGGTCAATAGAGGGTCTACTTTGAACCTCGTCCCTTATAAGTTCTTTAAAAAACTCAAGAATAAAGATGGAGAGATTATACCTTCAAATGTCTAGCTGTTAGATTTCACGGGAGAATGAGTGAAGCAAAAGGAGTGTTGATCACTCATCTCATTGTTGGGTTCAAGGCTTTTTGACACCTGATTTTTAACCGATACGTCATAAAGGTAAAAACTTGATATTAAGGCTTCTAATCGCGACAAAACCCGTTTCTCAGTCAAAAAGAGTCATTTAACGCTTTTTCTTGCATTAGCCCTGCAATTCCTTTTTTATTTACATCTTAATCTCAAAAAGCAAAAAAAATTGACTTTTTAGTTGACTTTTTAATAAACTTTGACAAAAAGTCAACCCTAGTCAAAATTTGATTTTTTGCATGAAAAGTCTCAAAATAGTGTCAATTTCACTTTTGCATTGTCATTTTTTGAAAAAAAAAATCAAATTTTGACCCATTAATTGATATTTTAGTAACTAATTACTAAAATGTTAACTTTTGGTTAACACTTTGTCAAAAATTGAAAAAAATTCAAAACCCCTAAATTGACTCCTTTTTACCTTAATTTCACTTTGGCATCAACAATTTTACAAAAATCAGTTTAAAACCAACTTTTCCTTAATTCGTGGATTTTGGTTCAAAATCGGCCAAAAAAAAAATTATTTTGTTTCTAGTCATTTGTATGATAGTTTCCTTCACGACATTTGATCTAGAGCTCATTTCATATCCAATTTTCAAGCCAATATCATAATTCCAAGTCATGGGTAAAAACCCCTAATTTGAGCCCTAATTAGAGGTGCTGGTCGTTTTTGCATGAGTTGCGTAATTAAATCGCAGATGAGTCCATTTTCTTATGTGCAACTCAAATCCAACATAAATTTTGACAAATTCATGCAAATTCAAGTCAATTTGATCAATTCGCTAACCAAAGACTTGCAAAATCAATTTACCTTGGTCCAATCGATGCAATTCAACTTGAACCATTCTAATCTAGTGGTTAATTTGATAGATTGAGCTTCAATTTGACAATTAAGTCCCAATTTCCTTTGGGGATTTAATTCGAACCATTATGTGAAAGCCAATTTAAGCACAATAGAGTGTTTTAAATCCATTCAATTGATTCAATTGAGTGCTTTTCAAGTCAATTGTGTTTAATTAAAATCAATTTTGTCTATTGAGAACAAGAATTGAAAAATTGCATTGATTGATTGAAAATCCCCAATTTGTGTGAGGTAAATCAATTGGGATGAAATTGACATTATCCACGATGAAATTGGAACAAATTAACTCAATAAAAATGTTGATAATGAGTTCAATTGAGTTTAATCGATTGGATTTGAGTTGTTTTCTTCAAATTTGGCTCATGTCTTTGATAATTGGTCAGGAATTCTTTGCAATTAGGTCCCTCAGAGAGCAAATTAGACTAAATTGCATAAAAATCTTTATCAAGGAACTGGCCAAACTGGCCCAGATTGGTTCGAACCGGCCTAGACTAGCCCAACCTGTTCAACCGGCGAGGAACACCAATTCGGCAAGGATGGCTGGATTTTGGCCAATTTCCGACCACCTCCGGCCACTTCAAGTCATGGCCAATGAGCCCCTCTCCCTTATGCATGAAATCACTAGATTACCCTTATGTGAAATTACAAAAATGCCCCTAATGCCATGTTCTCCTATCTAATCAACTCACTAAAAATTGATAAGTGGCGACTTCAAAAGTAAATTTAATTTGCATGTTAAGAACTTGAATCATAAGTTGAGAGAGCCTGTGTTAAGTTTAGGCTTAGTAACCTATTAGACAACCCTTAGGTGGTCCACTTTCGAAAGGGCCGCGACATGCCCTAACCAGCGCCCTAGATGCTTGGACCTTGGACCATAGCACCTAGACTTTGTACACTGGGGCCAATCTCAAGCATCTAGGGCCACCAGTCCTTGGATCGACCTCCAACGTCCAACTCTTGGGATCTTGAGTCCGGGGCTCATGGTCCGAGTCTAATCTTAAGTCTAAGGCTCGAGGTCTTGATACCTACTATCAAGTTCCCGAGATTGTGCATTGTAGGTTTATTTGTCTTAAATGCGATATAAGTTTTCTAGAGAAAATTACTCAATTAGTCCTAAACCTATTATACATATGTCAATTCAGTTCTAAACCTTTCAATTTTATCAATTTAGTCCTAAACTTATGCGCAAAATTCCAATGTAGCCTTTTTTATCAATTAGCCGAAAATCACTGACGTGATAGTCCATACATTGTTGGTTGTCCTATGTAGTGTACTGCCATGTTAGCAATTTCGGGCAAAAATTGGTCAAAAGGACTATATCAGAATTTTATGCAAAGGTTACTAAATTTGCAAAATTAGAAATTATAGGATTGAATTGACATATGTACAATAATTTTATGACTAATTTGACAATTTCCTTAGGTTTTTTTACACCAAATTTCTGATAGCTCATTCCTAAAATCCTACCAAACACAAGAAAATTGAATCATTTTTCTTGAAAATAGTTTTCTTATTAAATATTAATTAGTCATGTCAATTTTTCCAGGAAAGAAAACGGACCTGTAGTGATCCTGCAATTTCATCAAGACCCAATGTCAGTGTTAAAGTAGCCTATCATTTGCTTAATCCAAAAACTAAAGGTGCAGGACAGAACGAGAATCACGTGTGACCTTAAAGATAAACGCCGAAGCTTCAGACATGGTGATTACCCGTTTAGGCCAAACAAAAAAGTAAAAGAGCCTCAGACGAAAGTTGCAAGCAAATAATAAATTCCCATACCGTATTTTATTCCATTTTCTTTTTGTCCTTTTTTATTCCTTCGCACTTCTTTTTCTTACTTTATAAACGGAGGTTCCAACAAACAGTTAGTTGCTGTTATGTGTTAAGACACAAGCGCTCTGCTAGCTAAGAGAGGAAATCTACCTATTCCTAGTACTCTTCACAATGTTTCTTAGGACCAAAGAGCTCTGTTGCTTTTCTCTGCTCAAGATTTCCAATTTGAGTGATGTTGGTGTCGTCGTCTTCTGAATCATACTTCTGGGATTCATCAGCCCTCAGAGCTCAGGTGTGGTGGCGCTAGTGTTGCAATGAATTGCACCTCTTTCTTTCCTGTTACTTTAGTTAGGTTGCATTTGCTTGTTGTGCTTACTAACCTGTATTACTTTTAGGGAAAGATGTTTGTATGCTCGCACTTTGGATGTTTCGGCAAGTTATCATCATCCTTTAATTTGTTGGTTAGTACATGTTCATGTTTGTTCTCGATGTTCATTTTCCAACTGGTGAAAGAACTAACAGGATCCGACCAAAAAAAAAAAACTAACTGGAGAAATTATGACCTTATTATGTTCCTTCACAACCTGTCAATTTTTACATTTAAAGATTGATATGTCAGGAAAAGTACAGCAAATATGTTTTTTTTTTTTTTGGTCGAAACAAGATCATTTCATTTCATCAAGATGAGCTTTAACACATACAAGGTTCCAAAGGATTGCGAGAGGGTTAAAGACCCAATTATAGGGTAAAGATTTGTACCTTTGAGTCTTAACAATGCAAATATGCTATTGAAAGCAATCTTTCCTACGTGAATGGGATCTAAGCAAGCTTTGAAATGGTTAGGATTGCAGGAATTATCTTTGAAGTCGTGAAACCGCTTCTACTTAAATTTTTGAAAATCCAACCCGAAAGCCATTGAAATGTTGATGAAGATTAAAAGTAATAGAACTCTCAAAATTTGGAAAGAAAAGAGCCTTAGTTCATGAAGTCAAGACCAAAATTAGGAAGAGTACTCTTTCAAGACTTAATACTGGGGTTGTAGGAGAACCCATCGAACCTGCGGACCTTGTAGAACTAGTATGGTTTGGTAGGTTTCCAAGGTTCTGTCATACCACCTTGTACCCTACACCATGTATCCTTTACAGGGTACCTATATGACATTTTTTTAAGTATATAAATGTATGAATAATTATTCATGACTTTTTTTTCCTTATGAAGTATTTGACATTATGATATGCGAAAAGTTTAATTGATTCAACTCTCTCTCTCTCTCTCTCTCCAACCTCATTTGAAAAACAATTATCCAACTTTGTGAGTCCACGCGAGTGTGTGTGACAAGCTTGGATATATCTAGGGATAAGTGCACCATAAGTCGTAAAACTTGTCACGAAAGTGCAGTTGAATCCTAAAACTTTCAAAAAGTGCAGTCAAGTCTTAAAACTTGTCACGAAAGTACAATTGAGTCGTAAAACTTTTAAAAAGTGCAATCAAGTCCTTCCATTAACTCCGTCCAACTTGACAAACGGAAAATGCTGACAAGTTTTAGGACTTGATTACACTAACTTGACAAGTTTTAGGACTTGATTACATCAACTTGACAAGTTTTAGGACTTGATTACACTAACTTGACAAGTTTTATGACTTGATTAGGACTCAATTGCACTTTCGTAATAAGTTTTAGGATTTTCAGTGCACTTGTTCCCTATATCTATGGATGACACCTTCTCAATAAAATGATAGCTAGAAGCTAATATTGTTCTTTATTTTTTTTATAAAATTTTGATGTTATTAAAATTATCATGTTACCATTAGATATGAACATGTATTTTAACATGTAATTGAATTATGTTCTATGTTGAATGTTCAATGTGTTAATAACTAAAGCCACAACAGTTTTTGTTCAACAAAAATAATTTAAAAAAGTACAAGGTAGTATAGGGTACCCTAAAACTTGTGCAACCGACAAGTTCAAGGTTCCAATGTGGTTTCAAGAGCCTATAAAGTAGGTTTCAGATTCCAAAAACTTGAAGCATAGGTTCAAGGGCAACGCGGATACCCTACCTACTCTGAAACTGGCACACCCCTACTAAATACTCCCATAACACCTCTCCTTCACCTTTTCACTTCTCTCACTTTAATTTAAAAATTAGTTTTGAATTGTTTTTGAAAAACTAATATATATGAAACATAGAGGCAGAAAAAACTTAAAAGCCACATGTAAAGAATTTGTGCAAAATTGACCTTTAGAAAACCTCAATAGAATGTGGAGACTAGATAAAAGAAAATCCAAAAACGAAATTATTTGGATAGTCGAATAATTCATCAATAGTTATAGTAGAAGAGTGGAGGGTTAGCAAATTGGAATTGGAACTTTTAGGAGTTTTTACCACATAGAGCAATGTGGAAAAACTCATATGGGGATGTGTTTGATTACTGCACTCCACTATTTTGTACAGAAGTACTCAAATAATCACCGTTCTTATACTATCACTCGTGAAATAAATTTATCTATGTTTAAACTAATACAAGAAAAATTATGTGAATAATAATATTAGTCCTTTGGTGCTTCCAAAATTGCCTAATTAGGAATTGACACATGGTCTATCATTGACACGTGTCCCAATGGAAACTTTTTTCTTTTCTGCAAATCAATCTCTATATTTTCTTACCTTAAAACCGAATAGATTAATATATTTGGCCAATTTCAGGGCTTTCATGATTGGCTTACGAGGAATCTGGAACTTGTGTTTATTTTTTCTCTCTTTGATCCGCAAATAATCCACATTTAAAATTGAAGAAAAGATGAATAAAACTCAACATGTGAAAAATGTCCTTTTGCCGGAAAATGAAATTCTTAATTATTTTTTAATGTCAGAATTTAATTACCAAAAAAACAATATGTAACTTCGAAATATACAAGAAAAGACGATGAAATCCCTATTTCCATTTTTTTTTTTTGTATTTACCATTAGTAAACCAAGAATCTACGATGATAAAACCCATTCGAACACCAATAGTTTCGCGTGGCCTAGCCCATGTACACAGTCGATGTTTTTCAGTAGCTTCAACAAAGCAAAGCTTATAATAAAAGAAATGTCATTATTTTTCATATGTAATAGGAAGATTTACTTGGAATAGATCATTCTTCCCTTTAGGAACTTTCCTTACGTTATTAGTCACCTGAGATTTTATTTGATTTAAGAAAATGCTCGTAGTACAACAATTTCCCTTAGAAAACAAATTATAGTGAGTATAGACAGTTTATTATTCTGAAAAATTAAGGAAAACTCATAAGAAGCTACTTCACATTTAGTGAAGATCTAGATGAACATATCAAAAATAAATAAATAAATCGAAGGCTTAACCAAAAAAAAAAGAGTAAATACAAGGGTCGCAAAAGAAAATAGAGTCAACAACTCTAGGAAAGGAATGGAAGATGAACATGAAGAGAGATGTGCAAGTGGGTAAATATGATGCCACTTTGTCTTTCAATCGATTTACTAGCTTTAAATCGTTAAATTTGTCTGAATTAGTTTTAGTTTTTACTTTTTATTTAATCCAAAATTTTGCGGCTCTCGGATATTGATTCTTTTTTAAATTCAAAAACTCCTAACACTTTCACAACATTCAATTATTAATATGTAGATTTACATATGATTTTTTGATTTTTATTTTATTTTTTTTATTTTTGATGGGCAAACAAAAAAGGATACTTTTTTTTTTATTTTTGTTTAAGTGTAAACAAACATTCTTTGAAAAAAAACATCTACCAATATATTCTCTTTGCCTGGACTTTCAATGAACTAAATTAATTTATAATTATAAAAAAAGAATTTTATTTGCAAAGTAAATCTTCCTTTCTAGTTTTTGGGTACTTGTGATGCCTGACAGTCGATTTCAATATCAAGTGAAACACGAAGAACTTAAGGAAGTACTTTAAAAAATTTCACGCACATCGTGTTTGATCGGTGGGTCACTTGAAACATATGATGCACCCAATACGGACCAAATGTAGGATAAACAATGCGCACATTCTTGATTTCAATTGTGCGGAATTCTAAGAGAGGATTAATGGATGCAATGATGTATGGCATTTATGCAGTTTGGTGCAACCTCTTTGTAATTATTCTTCAGAAGCAATGTGAAAAGTTTCCTCACTCCGCATTTGAATCGATGTCTAGTGAGCACACCTGAACGAAGCTGCCATGAGTTTGATCAGTTGGATTTCCTTCATAGAAGGCGTGTGGGCAGCGTGGGGGATTCAGCTCCTGGTCGCCGCAAGCTTTGCCTGCAAGATTGTTCTCGTAATATTTGGCAACCGTCGGAAATATATGACGGGGATTCCAGCTACTCTTGTCATCTGGGCCGCATATTTGCTCCTTTCTTACTCTGTGACAATCGCACTGGGCAAGGTTACTGTGGTCGACATCGACGATCCTAATAATCCGGGTTACGATGTGGTGTTGCAAGCGCTATTGGCCCCGTTGCTTCTGATTCAACTTGGGTACGCAGATGGCATGACAGCCTATGCGGAGGAAGATAACCGGCTGGGATTGAGACAACTGATGAAAATCGGGGTTGCGTTGTGCATCGTGGTTTGGATTCTCCGTCGCTGTTGGCACAGCTCGTCCCCGGTCTTGATCCTGTACTTCCCCTTGTCCGTGGCCGGGATCATAAAGTCGGCGGGGTGGGTCTGGGCTCTCCAATCCGTGTATAATGAGAACTCATGCGTGACCGCAGAGGATATGTCCAAAGAAGCCCGCATTAAGCAAGTGTTCGATCCGCTCCCTAAGGATGAGAAGTTCGCGTACACAAAGGACATCTTGAAGGCCTACTATCGGTTCCACTGTTTGAAGCCCCATCTCGTGAACTGGCTGTACCACCCCCAGTTCATATCCAACGAATCAATGTCCATCGAAGGTTACCCCGCCGACCGTGCTTTCACCATGACCGAGATCGAGCTGAACTTCATGTTCGACGCGCTCTACACTAAAGCGCCCATTCTGTACACAAAACTTGGCCTCATAGGCCGCTTTATGGGCTTCTTCTGCTTGGTGTGGGCCTTGTGTGGATTTGCCATGATCTTCAAGAATGCCTTCTTGATTGATATGTACATCACCTATACCTACGCGTTACTGATGGCAGTCACATCTCTCGAGCTTTATCAAATCTCGATGCTGGCGTTTTCGGATTGGGCAGTGGCGAAGATGGGTATGAACCTTAAGATGCCGCTCGTCGGAAGGCTCCTCCCATTTCTATCCAATCGGTGCATGAAGCAGAAAAGATGGTCGAGGTCGATAGGGCAGCTCAATTTGTTTGACCACCGACTATACAAAGAATGTCCGAAGCCCATTGCCACGGTACTTGATTGGTTTGAGAAAAGGGGGTACTCCAGGGGGTATCGGTTATACTCCTGCCGGGCCATCCCCTCGTCCCTCAGGAAGCTGGTGGTTCAAACGATGACAAAGCTAGAGGAGAAACGAGACCGCCGGCCCTTCACAGAAAGAGGGAAGTGGACGCTCGAGATTCACAGCATCCAAGAGAAACAAAGACTGAGCGGTAGCATTGCGACGGAATTCGATAAGAGCATCATTATCTGGCATATCACAACGGAAATGCTGCAGATATCGGAAAGCGAAAAATCTGATGCTTGTAGAGGAAGCAAACTCCTATCAGATTACATGATATACCTACTCGCCGTGCATCCTTACATGTTGTCCCTCACCACTGCCAACATCATGCTGGAGCACGCTTGTTGCACACTGAGGCCTTTCTTGAGGTACCGAGACCATAAAGAAGCAATTATCGCACTGTGTTCGCCGGATGGAGATGTCTCACACCCCGTCAAACCAAGTAAGGAGACGTGGATCACTCGCGACTGGCACTTGTTGTCGGAGGTGCAGAAGCTTGTGGCCGACCTGAAGACGATGGACAACAAGTGGGAGATCATCAGCAGCATCTGGGTGGAGATGCTGTGTTATGCAGCACACCAGTGTCGTGTGTATCACCATGCCAATCGACTGAGAGGAGGAGGTGAGCTCATCACTCATGTGTGGCTCCTCTTGGCTTACCAGACCGACAAGCTCCAGTTGAGGGAGGACGAGCTTTCTGAAGATCCTGCCGCCTCGAACGAATCTCCCTTCTTGGTAAAAGGTTCTTCTTGTTGCTTCCGGAGGATGTTCGGGTAGGCACATGCTAAAGGCATATACAACTAAGATGCCTCATCGTCACGTGCAGTTGGGTTATTTATGTTAGAATATTTAAGTATAATATCACGGTTGTGTCTTATGGAATCAGACAATGAGATCTTGAGTTTAAATTTTTCAAGCCCCTTATTTGTATTCCTAATTATATATTTTCCATGCTTTTATATGAGGCAAAAGCCTAGCTTACATGTACGGTGAAATATTAGAATATTTAAATATTAAATTACACATCTATTTATTAGCTTAAGTTTTTAGAACAAGTCCCATTGGTCCCATAAAGTTTTGTAATTTATACTCTCGAGGTGTCCTTGTCAAATTGGCTAGAAAGCGAAAACTCTCAAGGGAGTGTTTCGGTTCACATTGAGCCCTTCTCATTCGAATGTCATGCTCGCGTTCGGTCTTTCTACGCCTAGGTTCAGGTTCATTGATTCCTAAAAGGTCGAGGTGAAAACCACACTCTGTCGACCCTGCAGTCAGTTTCTGTTGTTCATAAAAGAAAATACTTCAAAATTATTGATGATCAGTTCCAGATTAGATAGGTTCGGTCAAGGCTGCTTGCCCTTTAATCCAGGAACTGGCCTTTTGTTTTTTGGTCTTTTCTGTGTTTCTTAACAGTGAAACTGACAGATTCGAGAAGCAGAACGAGAATCTACAGGTCAAATTCCGGCGGATCTTTCTTTTCTCTTTTTCTTTCTGTTTCAACTGCGACGTAATATATATTAAGAAACATCCCCCCCAACAAAACTGGGGATCAGAAATTTACCCAATATCAAAGTGAAAGTAACACCACAAGGGCGTCGGTCTCTGCCGCCGATTCAACCGCGATCCTCCCCATTGCTCGGAAATTCGACGAGGGCGACGGCGCTGGTTTCGGGACCGGACAGAAGGGCTCGCGGCCAAATTAGGGTCAGCCAGAATCGGGTCTTGCCCACCCTGTGGTGCTCGTGCAGGCCTCCACCGCCGATGTGGAGCTTCCTCCTTTATCCTCGGCATCGCTCAGGCCTCCATCGCCGCTGCTCGAGCTTGTGACTGCCATTTGAACTCTGAACTAGAGCCTACGAACGGCCATTCGAGCTCTGAACCAGAGCCCCCATGATATTCGAGTTTTGTCTGGAGTAGGCCATGGCCTAAATGCTCCGCGGCCGACCTGGATCTCGATGGAGAGGCTCAGTCGGCCATGATCGACCTCAATCTCAACGGAAAAGTCGAGTCGGTAAAAATAGGATGAGGGACGGAGGCTTGAGCGGCTCCTTTAACGCGTAGAGAGAAAGAAAATTCTTCTTTTCCTTTTACGTTGATTTGCACATGGCGGGTTCCACCTAGACGTCCATTTTGGAAACAAATTTCATCCACATCACTTCGACACTGCCTCGCATCACATTGGTTGGATTTGACGGAGTTTGACGCGCTTAAGACTTGATTAGAAAAATTGTGAAGGTACATGAAGATAAACAATTTTTTGAAATTTGGAACCTATCCTACGTACCTTGGAACGTGGAACCTACCTGTCACAGGTTCCAGGGTCTACCAGATTTTACTTGTATAATTTATTGAACGATTGTAGTTAATCATCACCTTTAATGACTATCATTTGTTGCTATAATCCACTAACCACAACTTATATTTAGACACACGAAAAATATAAAATACTAACAAAGTAAAAGTCTCGGTCATAATTTAGAAACTCAAACTAGTGGTTTTAAATTATACACTCATCATCGGACGCCATGGAATACCGCAAATTCGCTCTAAGACATAAATCAAGAAAAACAAAAATACTTGTTCCAAGTTCCAGATTCCAGGTTCCACCTACCAAGAACCTGGAATCTACCCGTCGAAACAGATTCCCTAATTTTTTGAACTTGAAACCGAATAAGTTCCCACTGGTCCAGTTCTCAGGTTCTAGGTTCTACCCTAGAACCATGCTCACCCCTTATGGCATATAAGTGAACGCCTTACGAAAGTTATGACACTCAAGTGATTGAAAAAAAAAGTTATGGCACTTAAGTAAATGTCGTACGAAAATTATTACACATTTGATGTCCTTTTTCCAAAAATTCCTCATTTCATCTTCCATGCAAGTTTGAAGACAAATGAACTTTGCAAAAGTTCTTTAGATTTCAATAATTGCCATAAGTTCCAGAAATATTGGCATAATTGTCCCAAAATCTAATTGGTAAGTATGAGGAACCAACTCTAGCAACCCCCTCTAAGGGTCATTATAATTGGTCCCACACCCTCTATAGATTTTTAGTTTGAGCTATAATTTATTTGAACCTCTTAATACCAGAAAGGCCGAAATTGGCAAGCCCGTCATCACAGTCCCACCAAGATAGTAGCAACCAGTAAGTCTTTTCACATAACACTCGTCATAGCTCGGCAATGCAGAAGGAGTCACTTGGAAGCTTGCTCATAACGGGAATTGAACTCATGACCTTGTTTAAACCAAGTGACCCCTTAACCACTAAGCCGACCATCTTGGTATTAAATTGATGCAAATAATAATAGTGCTCAATCAAAACTCATTGCAATCCATATAGTATTCCAATGCTTAAAAAATAAATAGGGATAAGGACACAACAAGTATCATAACTTTCGTACGATACTCACTTGAGTACCATAACTTTTTTTCAACCACTTAAATGCCATAATTTCTAAAAACCATTCAGTTGAGTGCCATAACTTTCAATTAATCACTTAAATGCCATAATTTTTTTAAAACGTTGGAAATCCAACATGGCATGGCACTTGTAGTAAATGTTTTTCGAAAATTATGACACTTAAGTGATCTATTGAAAAGTTATATGGCACTCAAGTGATTAGGAAAACAATTATGACACTCAAGTGAGTGTTGTATATAAATTATGGCACTTAAGTGATCGAAAAAAAAAGTTATGGCACTCAAGTAAAGTCGTACAAGGCACTTAAAACAAATGCATAGATAGAGCTTGTGCATGAATGTGTCACATGGTGTAAGGCACTCGAGTATTATTCTACTATATATGGGTTAATACTATTTAAAAATACAAAACTGGTATCCCAAGATACATTTACCTCAAATTAATTTTTGTTTCAGAAAAAAATCCCAAATTGGTACCTTCAAGAGACATTTACCCCAAATTAATTTTCTTCTTACAAAAATAATCCAAATCAGTACCTTCTAACCCAAATCCACTCTCTATTAAGATGCATATGTTGTTGACACACGTGAATTTATCATGTCGGATTTGTCATTCTCCACGTCTGATTTGTCTTGTAGTTGTCTACTACGTGATACTTATTTTACTGAGATATTGGATGGAAACGAATGGTAGATGGTCAGGGGCACCAGTTTGGGTTTTCTTGTGAAACGAAAATTAGTTTGTAGCAAATGTCTCATGGGTTAATAGTTAGTGATAATTAATGGTAGAAGTGACGCTAGAAGGTGCTTGTGATGTAATATATGTCTATTTTCTATAATATTTCAAAAAATTCTTAACAATGCTCTATCAGGATCTTCTAATGTGCGGATATATATGTATATAGTTCTCATATAATATCAACCATTGAATGTATGTAAATATACACATCCGAACGAATGGAAGACCCGTGTGATGCATGGACTAGAGATTTTTAATTTATTGAATTCACTTCTATCTATAAGTCACAAAATAAGAATGAATGCCCACTTATTTGTCTTGTGATTGGCTTTTAAAATGATAAGTCCGAGGAAAATTTCTTTATCTTTTCTATCATCTGTATATGGTTTGCATGCAGACTTTGAATAAATTATGAACATGCATCTTATTAATTAGCTCTTAAACTGACAATTCCGAGGATATATATTCATCTCATATGCTCTCCAAGGGTTAACCACAATTTTCATATAAACAATCAACTCTTGTATCTAAGCTATTAACTTCTGAGCTAATAATAACGAGAGGATGTTCTCATCTTTGTTTATTATCCATAAGGTACTAATAAATTAAAATAAATGATCAAATTATTACTGAGGCACTTAAGTGATCGATTTTTCAAATTTGTGGCACTTAAGTAAACAAAAAAAAAAGTTATGACACTCAAGTGAGTGCCGTACGAAAGTTCTGGCACTCATGTCGTTTTTATCCCATTTTGTTGAGAGTTTTCTTCAGTACTAGGAATTCAACAATGCAAGTAAAAGAATCTTGAGTATCAACGAAATTTAGGATCATATTGTTGGGGTGTGATTTATACTCTCTATCGACAAGAAGGTACGGGGTCCCACTGAGCAGGCAAGGAGCCTGGGGGCTATCTTGGCAGAGGTCGCAGGGGGTAGCGTCTTCGGGCCGCCATAGGGCTTTCATAGTTTATGATGTATTTTATTGATAGTTTGGGCTTTGGCCCATGAATAACTACTGAGTGACTTAGGACTTTCTTGGCACTTAATTTTTTACTATGACTATGTGATCAAAACTAGAAGTAAAACATAAATCTTTATCCGCTAAGTCTTCCAAATTTTACTAACAACCTAAAGCTTTGATACCAATAGAGAAAACATGAGAAGCACAACTCGTGAAACTTTCTCTATCTAAGATATTAAGAACAAGACTTAAATATAATTAGGAGTATTTATTGTCAAATTAATACACATTCCAGAAATTCTTATGAAAATACTTAAACTTGAAATAGTAGGAATATCTCGGGTCTTATAAGAAGCTAAAATATACTTAAATTTCACTATTGTAGTATTTATAAATACCAAAGGATAAAATGTAGAAAAAGATTGGCTTATTTTTGGTTGGTTTGAGAAATGAAAAGCTATTACTCTCAATCAGAGTTTAAAATTGAGCGCATGCATCACGTGCTATGCCCCTCCAGAATACATCCAACGAATAATGCAAAGTGAAAAAACTGATACCCTGTTTGGTCGCTGACGAAAGCCCGATAAAGAGAAAAAGAATGACAGACAAAAGTTACAAGTAAATAATCAATTCTCTGCTCTCTGTCCTTTTATAATGCCTCTACTTTTCTATTCAGAATTGAATAAATAAAGCTTCCCCACCAGGGTTAGGAAGACCCACACAGTGCCTTTTCTATTATTAGCAAGAATCTGATTCGACAACTTCCTTGGGAGTCACACAACACAGCAAGGTTTCCGTTTCTTGCCAGACTACTTTATACTTCCTTTGTTTTTTCCAGAAAATTTATGATCTTGTCATTACTTTCTTTCGTGTAAACATTTATTCCTTCTTAGCTGTGTGTCGATGATCTCATATAAGATGTTTGCGATATGCTTAGTGTAGTTAGTTTGGTTTACATAATCGGTCTGTTAAATAATGCGGTAAACTGTCAGCAGGTGTTTGAATAGGAGGTGTCCTTTTGCAATTAGCCATCTTGTTGAATATATCAATTTCGTAGATTAGTTTTAGCAAAACTAGCAACTAGCATTGCTTATCTTCTGCGGAACATCCACAAACCTTAAGAAGATTCAAGCTAGGTTTACGTCCAGTCCATAACTCAAAATAAGTCAATGGAACAGCTTTGGTAAGAACACGATTTAGTGATCACATCTTCCTTAAGGTGTCATATATGAGAGGAACTTCACGTTTTGGCAAGAAAGGAAAGCTGATTCCTAGGTACGTTGGACCTTTCGAGATCTTAGAACGAATAGGGATTTTGGCCTATTAGCTAGCATTGCCGCCTAGACTTGCTCAAGTTCATAATGTGTTTCACGTGTCCATGCTAAGGAAGTATAAACCCGATCCGGCACACGTGCTTAGTTTTGAAGAGATCAACATGAACGACAAAGTGTTGTACGTAAAAAGGCTAGTGTGGATCGTGGATAGGAAGGAGCATGTGCTACATAATAAGATCATTCCCTTAGTCAAGGTCATATGGCAACATCTTGGAACAGGAGGAGTAACCTGGGAAAGTGAAGAGATAATGAAACGTCAACATCCGCATCTATTTGAAGAATCAAGTAATTCTGCAAATTTCGAGGATGAAATTTCTTAAAGAGGGAAAAGTTGTGACATCCTCAGTCTGACGACGCTTAATTACGTATCTTTGGACCGTTAATCTTTGGACAAGTGGACATGAGCCAAGCATTGGAAGACAATGAAGGCCTGTGCCCTAGACAAGCCCAATGGACTTGTTCGGCCTTGTTAGGCGACAAGCAAGAGGGTAAAGCCCATTTTGCCCACATTTGACTCTTTGGTGATTTTTTAGAAGATTGCACCTTAATGTGCCTTGTGCATGATTAGTAACCTATAGTTTAGCATTTAATGCACCTTCTAGAAGTTTCATTTGGGAAGAGACCAAAATTTGGTCTTGTTTTGAGGAGGTTGGACTCCACTTTTGAAGGAGAAGGGAAAATACCAACTTAGTTAGCTTCTTGTTTAGTTCTCTTGGTTAGTACTCAACTAAATGCATGAGCCTATTTTTGTAGTCATGAGAGCCTAGAGTGAGACTTGTTGAAGAAGATTTCAAGTTGACCTCTTAGCCATGAATTTGCTTGGATGGGAGCAAATTAAGGAGACCTAGGTTAGGGTAGATGGTAGAGTCCATTAATGCAATTGCATTATTGGCCTTCTTACAAGAACCTTTAGAAGGGGAACCCTCCTCATTCTCTCTCATTTTTCACTCACTCTCACTTTCTCTCATTTCTCTCTTTCTCTCCCTCACCCTCTCTCTCTCTCTAGCCCTCCCTTTCTCGCCATCCACCGTCGCCACGCCGTCCTCTTGGCCACTCGTCGCCGCTCACCACCATGCTGCCGTTCGTCGTCGTGCTACCGTACGCCGTTCACATCGCCTCACTGTCGACTGCACCCTTTTATCGTCGTCGTTCGTTGTCACTCGTAATTCGCTCGGTTTAGTAAGTAGTTCTTCTAATCTATGGATAGGATGTTATTCTACGCGTTTCGGACCTAGGTTGAGTCTCATTCAAGCTTGTTCTACCATGTCGCAGGTAGATTATCTATACCTTGGATGGGACTTGATTCTACGTAGTTGGATTAATTTTCGAGTTTAGGTTCCGTAATTGTTAGGGTTGATTATTGCTTGTTCTCGAAAGAGAAGACCCGTATAACAATTTTGTATGGTTTGCTCATGAAATGTTTCCACTATTCTTATTCTCGTTATTAATTGCCGTGTGAGTTTGTATATTTCCTTGATGCACGTATATTTTATGGAAACCAAGGTGAAGTGTATGTGCTCATGTGATGGTCTAGTGCAATAGAAGTTTCATGTTGTCATAATTATGGGTTTATGATAAACCGACATTTTAAGTCATCTTGCGTGTGTCATCTTTACAAGGAAGGTTTGTAAGTGAAGTATGTGCAATTTCGCATATAGAAGGATTGTAGTTGTTCACGTGTGATTGTTTTCGCGCGTTTTTATGTGTGCGGGATTTTAAATGTTCTAACCGTGTGAGCACTAAATACTCTTGCATTGACTAAAGTAAAAGATAATAATTGGCTCGAGTGCTTGATGTGCTTGTGTGATCACATAAATGGTTCCGTACGCATATGATTGCGAGGGACGATGCCCGATGGATTTTGGATACCGTTCGCGGATAGATTTCGAAACGATGCTCTTACGTGAATGTCGTCTTCGAGTGAGGTTGGGATGTTGCCGTGCTCGATGGAACGGGACGATGTCCGATTACGCCGGAAGACCACCGACGCGAGTGTTGATCGTAGCCGTGAGCGATCGTAATAATCGGAACACGTGTGGATACATTGTGCATGAATATATGATATGAAGTGTTCTTGATTACTATGTGTAATTGTCGCATGCCAATTGGAAGCGAGGCTTCATGTGTGATTATTTGTGTGAATTTTATGTGCCGATGGAAGGTAAGAATTCATGTGTGATTATTTGATTGTGTTTTTTATTCCATTCTCCTTTTGTCCTTATTATTCCCATGCCTTTCTTTTTCTTACTTAATAACTGGAGGTTCCACAGAAGTTCATTGCCGTCAAGTGTTGAGACACAAGTGCTCTGCTAGCGAAGAAAGCAAAGCACGTATTTCTAGTACTCGTTTCCTTAACAATGTTTTTTAGGACAAATCTCTCTGCTGCTTTTCTGTGCTCCAGCTTCTCCAATTTTTCCGATGTTGGTGTCCGCGTCTTCTGAATAATATTTCTGGGATTCATCAGCCCTCAAGTTCAGGTGTGGTGGCGCTAGTCTTGCATTGCATTGCACCTCTTTCTTTCCTGTTACTTTGGTTAGCTTGCATTTGCTTATGTGGCGCTAGTTTGCATTGCACCTCTTTCATTCCTGTTACTTTAGTTAGCTTGCATCTGCTTATTGGGCTTACTAACCCATATTATTTTTTGGGTAATAGGTTTGTACGCTCTCCACACTTTGGATATTTCGGCAAGTGATCATAGTACTTTAATTTGGTGGTCAGTACATTTAACCATACTCTATACAAGTTACAGCACACGTTTAGTTATCTTTGATGTTTTCCAACTGGTTTCCTTCACAACCTGTCAAAACATTTAATGATTTCTATGTGTGAAAAGGTATAGCAAACATGTTATTGAATGCAATCTTTTCTATGTGAATGACATTTAAGAAATCAACAGGAAGTGCAATGTGCTAGGATTACAGGAATTATTTTGGGAGTCGGAAAACCTCTTCTACTTAAATCTTCAAAAATCAAACCTGAGAGCAATTGCACCTAAAGTCATCTACTCTAACTATATAAATATTTTCGTGAACATAGTACGAGGCCATTGAGAAGTTGACATGTGGCGCTCTCAATGTGTGAAACGTCTTTTCTATCATTTTCAGAACTCCCAAAATTAAAAAAGAAGAAAAGCCTTGATCCATGAAGTCAACCCAAAATTACAAAGAGCTTCTTTCAAGACTAAATAATATGGTTGTCGCAATCTACCTGTCCCGATCGGTTAGGCCAAGAGGTATTTGTCAAAAAATGTAAACATTAATTGATTCGTTTGAAGGACAAACCAAATAGTTCATAAATCTAAGGACCGAGGCACTCCCAAGCATCATAATCAAGAGTTGGCTAAAAACCCTAATCGAGATGCGGAAATGTCGTCTCCATATGCGTGAAAACCAGAAATTCTAAAAATTGGGAACTTGATTACACTAGCGATCTAATTAGTGCCCTTTCGGTACCTAAACTTGAACGCTCACAAACTAACGCACCGGGTAACCTATCGAAAAAACTTAAGATTCTACCTAGTCATGCTAAAAATGGAAAATAACAACTAATGTATTAAAGGTGTGCAACCAAATAATCATAAAGAAAATAAACAACCAGCGACCTATCATCATCTCTAAAAAAGAAAAGGCAATCAAAAGCCCTAAAGTAAAGCCCTAATGGCTTGCTCAAATTTTTTTGAAATTTTTTGTTTTTTTTTTTTTAAGGTTTTCTCAATTTTTACAAGTTTTAAACTAAGTCTAAAATGAGATAAAAACTAATATCTAGTGAAATTAAGCCAAAAACTGATTTCTGAACATTTTCCAATTTTTCTGAATTTTTTCGGAATTTTTCTGGATTTTTCCGAAATTTTTTATTTTTTTTATTAATAAAATAAGCATTTCGGACCGGGTCCCCTGACCCGATCCGGCGCGGCTCTCTGATTCATCAGACTTTTCAAATTTTGATTTTTTTTTTCTATTTTCTAATTTTCTTTTTCCCCTATTTCTTTTTCTCTTTAATTTTTTATTCCCCTTTTGTTTTCTGCTGCCCAGACTGGACGCCTTCTCCCTCATGGGCTCACCCAGAGTAGGGGTGTCAAAGTACCCGCTCAAATATGACCCGACCCGAACCGACCCGATCCAAACAAGGAATTTTCATATTGGGTCGGGTTGGCCTTAACTTGTTTTGGTAATAATAAAAACAAGGCTTAAATTTGTTTTGGATCTACCCGAGCCCGCCCGAAACAAGCCCACCCATTTGTCCTTCTTGTTCCAAGCGCGCCGAAACCCTATCTTCTTGTTCAAAGTAACGGACAGAAACCTCCTCGCGACGGGAACTTCATCGTCGCCTTCCCTCCTTCCTTCGACCTCCATATCCGAGGCTCTCGCAAGCTTCGAGTTCGCCCGCCGGAGATCCCTCTCCCCGCTTCAATTGCCGGATCTCTCTCGCCGGCGCCTAGGCGGAGCTCGTGATCGCCGACTTCGAGGAACCGCCGCCATGGCTCCGCCGGCTCCGTCGCAGCGGTCCCAGTCGCCGTCCCAGCCTTCCGGGTGAGTCTTCCCCTTTGGGTGTTCCGGTTGGTGTTCGCTAGATGGGGTCGTCGCGTTCCGTGATTCTTGCACCCGATTGCCAGCTTGTTCATTTGATTGCGTGCTCCTCCCGTTCTCTCGAGTGCCTGATTGCTCGATTCTAGCTGCGTTCCTGCTCGTTCTCGACTGTTTCGGGTGTAGTTTGGGGTAAAGGGGTTACGGTGTTGTAATTCGTGATTTTAGTGCTAGTGTTGCGAGCTGAATTTCAAGCGATGTTTCGGGTGCGACGGTGGTGTTGCTTGGCTTTTGATTTTCGTATCCATGCGGGGTTACGTTAGCCGAATTCTGTTGAGTGTTCAAATTTGGAGCTTTTGCAATGCTCTCGGGGAAGTAAACTTTTTGGTTGTTGGGTCTTGAATTTACACTTTTCTTTGCTTGGGAATGTGTTCAGTTCGATTCCGTTGAAAGTTCTTACCTATGTCTGTGGTTCCCCAGAGTAGTATTGGTTAAACAATGATTAGTAAACCTCTAAACACGAACCGACCCGACCCGATCCAAACCCGACCCGATTGTGCGACTATATCATGTTCGGGTCTTGTTTCGGGTCGGGCCAAGCACATATATTCATTGTTTCGGGTCGGGTCGGGTCGGGTATCATGAAAACCCGACCCGACCCGACTCGTTGACACCCCTAACCCAGAGCTCACTGGGAACGTCTTCTTCTTGGTGAATCGCCGGCGACCCAAACTCCGAACCAAAATCGGCTTCTTTGAGTGGCGTTGACGACGAATCTGCTCGGACTAAAATCGCAACTCCACCATCACCGAACCAAAGTCCCTAAACCAGCACCACCGGCCACTAAGGGCGCGCATGGAATCCATTCTGGAGCAGAAATTCTGCTCCAGAATGCATTCCGGAACATAAATGCGTTTGTTAAAATAATTTTGGAATGCATTCTGGAGCAATTTTTGCATTCTGGAATAAAAACGCGTATGGTAAAACTTCATTCTTTTTTTTGCTCTAGAATGAATTTTTGCTTCCAGAATGAGTTTTGGCACAAAAAATAGAAGCTACTTTTTATAGCTTCTCTCTTCCAGAATGCATTCTAGCCCAAATTTCCTTTTTTACAAGAAATAAAAAATTTCAAAAAATAAAAAAATCAAAAATTTCAAAATTTCACAAAATGGCTTAGAATACCTGTGGCCATCCACTTTGAGTGAAATTTAAACTTTTTGAGGTGCCAAAAAAAATAAAAAAATCAAAAATTTCAAAATTTCACAAAATGGCTTAGAATACCTATGGTCACCCACTTTCAGTGAAATTTAAATTTTTTTAGGTGCCCAAAAAAATAAAAAAAAATAAAAAACTTCAAAATTTTACAAAATGGCTTTGAATACCTGTGGCCACTCACTTTGAGTAAAATTTAAATTTTTTGAGGTGCAAAAAAAAAATCAAAAAATATAAAATAAAAAATTTTACAGAATGGTTTAGAATACCTGTGGCCACCCACTTTGAGTGAAATTTAAATTTTTTTAGGTGCAAAAAAAAATAAAAATTTTCAAAACTTCACAAAATGGCTTAAAATACCTGTGGCCACCCACTTTGAGTGAAATTTAAATTTTTTGAGGTACCCAAAAATATAAAAATTTCAAAACTTCACAGAATGGCTTAGAATATCTGTAGCCACTCACTTTGAGTAAAATTTAAATTTTTTGAGGTGCCCAAAAAAATAAAAAAATTCAAAACTTCACAAAATGACTTAGAATACCTGTGGCCACCCACTTTGAGTGAAATTTAAAATTTTTTAGGTGCCAAAAAAAATCAACAAATCAAAATAGATTTCTGGAGCAGAATTAGTCATGTTTTACCAAACAGATTTCTCCTCCAAAAATCAATTTTTGGCAGGAATTCCAGAAATCAATTTCTGGCAAGAATTTGATTTCTGAAACGGAATGGTTACCATTTGCACCCTAAATCGCTAACATCGGTGACACACTTTCGTTTGCCGACCGTCAAATTTTCGACCTCAACAACTGACGCTAGGTCTGGACAAACAGGCATGAACACACATAAAATAGAGATAGAGAGCTAACGGTTGTGGCCTCAAACCGCGGGCGCATCTCCAGTGAGGGGAATGGATCTCCGGCGAGGGAATACGTACACGCGGCCGACTCGGACAATGTGCGAAACATGGCATAAAAGCAAAAGAAAAACATCGAGTCAGTCATGAAACATCGATTCAAGCACAAACGAAGCATAAGACGATGATAACAAGAACGTATTTTGGTGGCAATAGTCTCGGCTTTCATTTGGGCATTTTGTCAAACAGGTAACGTGCGACTTTAAGATGCCACTCCCAGGTTCGGATTTACTACCGTTCATGACCTGAACCTAGCATGTTAAGCTTTAAATCAACATTGTTCATCATGAATCAGTGTGGGTCTCGTGTGATTCGCTCAAAGACTCGTCGGTTCTTCTCCAAAAAAAAAAAAACTTCGACAAGCAAGAACAGGTCATTTTCGGGGCTTACCTGGTTCGGGTAGTCTCCGTGACGACGAACGGCGACCGGTAGGCGAGCCTCCGACGAGAACGACGGCGATTAGGGCGGACCACCGGTGAATGAAAAAAACTTTCTTTCCCAGTTCAACCTTCCTTCTGACGAACTCCCACCACCAAAACTCTCCCTCGGCTTTCTTCCTTCTTTTTTTCTTTTTTTAATGAATATGATCACTAGTGATCATGAGTCCACAATACTCCATGGCCACTGTGGAGATGATTCGGAGAAGACACCAGAGGGAATCCCCAGTGAGCTCTCTCCTCCGGCCAACTCTCCCTCTCTCTGTATTTTCTCTCTTCAAGCTCTCTCCAGAAAGAAGATGGCCTTCCCCCCCTCTTTTGCTCTTCTTCCGCTCCTCTTTGGAGGAAATGTCAGGGATCCAGGAGGGAGAAGCCGCGAGAAGGATGCTGCCGGCTAGAGAACGTCGAACGGCGACGGTGGTGGTGATTGTTCGGGCGAGATGAAGGATGAGGGGTCTGCCAGGTTCTTCTTTTTCGGAGATCCCCCCTCTCCTTCTCTCTAGCCAGACTGCACTCCAAATTCCAATGGACCGTACGTTCCTGCCTATTCCGCCAGCTCGCGGCGTCCTCCTCTGTACCAGGCCGTTTTGGCCTTTTGTCTCTTCTCGCCTTTTCTTTTTTTATGCTGCTCGTCGCTTCCTGGCTTTGTTGCGAACAACGTGAGGGAGAGAGAAGGAAAATGGATGGAGGGCTGGGCTTGAGAAGTAGGAAGGAAAGAAATAGGGCCAAGCCCAGAAAGGAAGAAAGAACAAGCAAAAAGGGACTGGGCCTAAACAAAGAACAAAAATGGGCCAAAAGCGGGTCGGGTCGAACTGGCCTAATTTTCCTTTATATATTTTTTTTAATAATTCTATCTTATCATCTCTCTTTCGCACTAATTTGGTCCATTTACATTTTAAGCATCAATTCATCGGATTGGCAAAAAATCGGGTGTCAACAATAGTGTATAGGAGAACCCGTGAAATCTATGGACCTTATAGAACAAGCATGGTCGAGTAGGTTCTAAGATGGGTATTAGAACTATTAGAGTGGGTTCCTGTTCCAAAATTTTGTAACAAATGAGTGTAAAGTACGTTTAAGGGTTGGGGTCATACCATCCTATACGCTACATCCTGTAGCTTTTGTAATGTACCTTTGTCATATTTTCTAAGTATGTCTGACCAAAAAGCAATAATCTCTCTCTCTCAAAGTGTGTGTGCACGTGCTTTGAGTTTATGTTCTCAGTAGGTGGTGATCGGTTTCATCTCAACTCGTGGATTTAAATGATAGGTGGAAGATGGTTTTTTTATTTTTTATTTTTTATATTATTAACGTTTTAGTGATATGTTAATATTGGATACGAACATGAATTTAACATGTAACCCATTTATATGTTTGATTGGTCAATGTGTATATTACATAAACAACGACAATTTTTTTTCAATGAAACAATATGAAAAAGTACAGGATAGTATAGGGTACCCTAGAACCCGTGGCACCGACAAGTTCCATATTCTAAGGTGTTCCAAGAGCAAGGTAGTTTCCATATTACAAAAACTTGGAACCATTGCCTAAGGTTCTATGGTAGGGAAAATACCTCACCCATCCCAAAACCTTCTCACCTCACCTCTCCTAAATACTCTTGTAGCACCTCTCCTCCACCTTTTTTTCCTTTTTTTTCCTTTTTTTCTCCATAAATCTATTTTAAAAATACTTTGAGAAGCTAATTATGAAAAATAGAGGTAGAAGAACTTAAAAGCCGCATTAAAGGTATTTGTGGAGAATTCACCTTTAAAGAATTTTGATAAAATGACACTACAAGTACCATAACTTTCGTACGACGCTTACTTTAGAGGCAGAAAATTCAGTGGCAAAAATTTTCAATCAATCATTTCAATGCTATAACTTTTAGAAAACATTCACCTCAGAACTATAATTTGTTTTCCCAAGTAACCTAATTGGACCGAGCATATGTTGTTTATTATTCGGAAAAATTAAGGAAGACTCATAAGAAGGCGGACGGCTAAGGCACAAATTTGTCCCAAAACTTCTTCACATCTCACGATGCGAGAAGAGGGCCACTTTCCTAGATAGTTATGATCTAGCTGAACACATCAAAAAGAGAGGAAAGAAAAAAAAAAGGTGTAACAAATGAAACAGAAAAATACAAGGATCCCAAAAGCATATACTGTCGACAACTCTAGGAAAGAAAAGAGAGATGAACACGGAGAGAGATGGGCAAGTCCTTTTTACGCACGTTGTGTTTGATCTATGTGTCGCTTGACACATAGTTTCAGTTGTGAGAAATTCTAACAGATTGAGAGAATTAATGTATGCATTTATGCAGTTTTGTGCAAGCTCTTAATAATTATTCTTCAGAAGCAATGTAAAAATCTTTCTCATTCTGCATTTGCATTGTTGTCTAGTGAGCACATCTGAACGAAGCGACCATGAGTTTCTCAATAATCAGAACGGTGTTACCGCTGCTAAAAGATCTGTGAGTGGACTGGGGCATTCATTTCTTGGTCACCATAAGCCTTGTCTGCGATATTGTTCTCACAATATTAGGCATCCATCGGAAACATCAGAGGACGAATTTAGCTAGATTCATCGTCTGGGCTGCCTATTTGCTCCGTTCTTACGTTGTGAAAATAGCGCTGGCCAAGCTTACTGTGACCCGCATTGATGATCCTGAAAATCCGGGTTACGATATGGAGTTCGAAGGGCTATTGGCCCCACTGCTTCTGATGCAAATTGGGTACCCAGACGGCATAACGGCCTATGGGGTGGAAAATAACCGGCTGGGACTGAGACAGATTCTGAACATCGGGGCTACAGTTGTCTTCAGGGTTCGTGTTCTCAATCGCTGTTGGGATGGCTTGTCCCCGGTCTCATGGCTGTACATCCCCTTGTTCGTTGCCGGATTCATAAAGTCGGCATTGTGGGTCTGGGCTCTCAAATCCCTGTATGACGAGAACTCAAAGGTGAACGCCGAGTACTTACCCGTGGAAACCGCCAAGGAAGCCATGGAACCCAGTGTTCAGCTCAGAATATTCCATTTGGACGAGAAGTTCAACTCCGCAAAGGACATCTTGAAGGCCTACCTTCGGTTCGACTGTCTGAAGCCTCATATCGTGAACTGGCCGTACCACCCGGAGTTCATATCCCGCGATTGGATGTCCATCGACAGTTACTGTGACATTCTCAAATTTCGACCCTATTCGGAATGTAATGAAATGATGATTTTAATCAATGCACTATTAGTAATTCTCGCTCTGAATTGATCACTCATGAGAGACTGACTGATAGGGAAAGGCTGTTAAGGAATTAAGTACGCACGACCTGAGAACTCAACTATGGATTGACAATTCGACCATAAAGATTGACGAGGGACAATTTTGAGCCATTATAGACCGATCAAGGGATGGTTATAGAATGATTTGCCAATAATATACAATCGGATCGCGGGTGATTCCACTTGACCGTTGTATGTATTGCGAACGATCCTAAACCCATTGACTGATGATCGTGTACTTCGGAATTAGCGATTGATCCCTCGCAATTACATGACAACCGAGATCATCCATGGTTCGAGAAAACTTAAATGTGGATTGATATTAAGTCAACCACGGGTTGAATACGCGTAACTCCTAAAAGCCGCCTGTTAGTTTGAGATATACTAAAGTCGCAATCGATCGATTTTGACCATGAATTAGAGTCCGAAATTAGATGTCGAATCTCCAAGGATTTCAAAACTAAAATATTGGACATCGCCTCATTGATTTGCTCGTTTATCGGTTTACTCGAAATTCTCGAAAAAGGATTTAACGGGCCTAGAATTTGGAGCCCACGAGGAAGTGGGCCGGACAAAGGCACATTGGGCCTCAAGCCCAATGTGGTTCGGCCATTTGGGCCCAAGACAAGCCCAAATGGGTCCAATGAAGCCCACTAAGCCCATTCCTTATCCGTTTGAGCCCAAACTTGATTTATACGAGCCCGTACAAAATTCTAGCTCGTATACGTGTATAGTATTTTTATACCTTTGTGAAATTACCAAATTACCCTTATTGCATTTATGACAAAGAAATAAAATGGTTTAATGCAAGAAGACTTTGTTGTCTTGTGTGATCATGAAGAAGACTTTGTTGGCTTTGCATTTATGAGAGAAATATCTCTTGGCCTCTCTTCTTTCCCCCCAATAGACCACTCTCTCTCTCTCTCTCTCTCTTTCCTTTCCCCCCCTCATTCACGTCCATTTCTCTCTCTCCCTCTTCTTCCTTCCTCACGCCAACCCCCTTCCTCCCTTTTTGCTCAGCCACATTCAGCCCCTTTGGCATTTGACTTACTGGCCAGAACCATCAGCAGCGACGCCGTGACTCCCCGCCGCCGTGCGCAACCCGTCCGTGCCGTTTTCCATTGCCAAATCGCCTCACCGAAGCCAAACCGGTTCTGTGGGCTGCTATTTGGCCCCGTTCCAGCTGTGTGTCGTCGTCCTGAGTCGATCCCGAACCGTACAACGGGTAGCCCTTGCTGCCGCCGTCGCGTTCGTGTTGTCGGAATCGCTAATGGGTGAGTTATCACCCTAATCCCTTGCTTAGTAGGTTAAACTTGATTAGAGCGGATTAGTTTAAAGTTAATTATGTTTAGTGTTAATTAATTAGGAATTAGTTGTTAAGCTATTGAAATATTATATTAATTTTCGGGAATTAAATAATAATATTTTATTAATTTTCTGAATTAAAAATATTATTATTTTATTAATATTTTTGTGGAAATTCCGAAATTAAATTGTGGTTATTTTAGGCTTAAATTGTGATGCCTAAGTTGGAATTTTTCCTTATATATTGGTTTGTATGTTGAATTGAATTGATTGATTATTATTAAATATAGAATTGTGGGAATTTAATTAATAAACCCTGAGGTGTCGGGTTTATTTGTGAAGTTTTATGTGAGAAATATGTTGTGAATACTTGAATATAGAAGCATGCCGAGTTTGAGAATTTATTGATATGTGCATAATCACGTGTGAATATTTTAGTACATTTTTTTTTTGGTAACCGTGGTGTCTGGGCCAGCTTGCGCGCTATTTTAGTACATTTTTATGTGTGGAAGTTGCAATATTTCAACGTATTAGCACGGATTATGTTTGCATTGGCTATTGATAAATATAATGATGGAACCTGAGTGTTGCTATATGTGCATGATCACCTAAAGGTTCCTTTGTGCCTGTCACGCCCCGAACCCCAACGGGCTCACGACACCCCTTCAACGGTCGTATTGAACGCGACGTCCCAGGACGCATCGGCGACCCAAACGAAACACCCAACGATAAAGGCAAGCGGAAGCGAGATTAAATAACCCAGACAATAATTAATGACAAAGGGATAGCACAAAACAATAATTCCAAATACACAACATCAAAAGGGAACAGTGGTTGGATATACTATTTCGCTATACAAAAGAGGGGCACACAGAAATATGGGGTAACTTGACCCGTCCTCCATCCCCGAGATGCCCTGGTGGCGTCTCCAATCAATCACGGTCGCAGATCTGAAAATGGTTATATAATAACCGTGAGAACGAGTCTCAATAAGCAACACCCTAAACCCTACCTAGGCCAATGCGTACCCAGACGAGTCTCAACATGCAATCTAACAACCGACGAACTAGAATTTACAAACACATACTTACCTCGCCTCAAATCACACGCC